GTTGTGTCAGCGCTCCTGCGACTGCGAGCGCCGTGGGTGGGTGGGGCTGCTGCTAAAATTATGTGCGGGCAGTGCTAACAAGTGGGGAGTCGCCGAGGAGGGGGTTCTGTTACGCGCAAGGGTTATTTCTCTCTTGCTTTAGTCGAGCGCTGGTGCAAATGAAAAAGTAAGGCTTTGCTGTTTCCTACGGTTTTTAATTTATTGTTGTTTTTAGGGTACTGGTGATCTTGTCGGTTATGAAATCTTGCAGGCAGCGTGAATGACTACTTTTGACTGACTTTGGCAGAGGAGGAAGGATGGGAGACGAATTTCGGGGGGGGGTATACATGTTAGTCTTTACATAAATACGTATGTCAAACCAGACACTCTTTTTTTTTTTTTTTCCATGATTACTTCAGCAGCAGTATTTTTTAGAGTGCATGTGCCTCTATGTACGGCCTTATATAACTGACATTTGGACTACCGTTTTAGGCCAAAATCGCAATAGCAGCTATCACAGGGAGTAAATATAAAAAGGAAGTATTTAGAGTTGTAACACAAGGGTATTGGTTCTTCTTATAGGTGAATATGTATATTTTGGAATTCTCTGATGGTTGCAAATGAACCAAAGAAGGAAAGGAGATAATATTTTAAATGGCATCATTGTAAATTTTTTTAGATTTAGGGTGTGATCTTACTTATAGTGCAGTTGACTGTGGAACTCGTGTTGGGACCAGGCTCAAATATTTAGGAGAACAGTTACATAATTTGATATATAAGTTTGTTTTATTTTAGAAATTGAGGAGGGGCATTGGAGAAAGAAGTGATGCAAAACAATTGGTAATACTTTTGAACAGTAATTCGTGTAGGTTAAGCTAATACAAACTGAAATTCAAGCACTGATTTTTTATTTTGCTCCCTGTAATGAAAAGCATATTTAGTACATATCGAGTAACACTTGGTAAATTAGAGACTGTATTATGCTTTTTCCTAAATGTGCATTATCTTAGCAAATAGAATTTGTGGACCTGTGATTTACCTGAAAGGCTAGAAAAACAACTTGAAAGAATTTGATTATATTATAAATCAGAAAAGCCAGACAGAATAATTTCCAAGGTAATTTTTCATGGCATAGAAGTTTTATTTGCCTTTGTGAACTTATAGATAAAAATATCACTAAATTAATTAAGTGCTTCCTGGGTTTTGGTTTTGTAGTATTTTGCAGGTTTAAAGTTTTAACTCTTACAGGTTTTAAAGATTTCAGACTGTCATATTAAGGAATAATAGGTCTTTCCGCCTATTTTATAAACATAAGCGCCTTATGAAGGCTCAAAAATACTAAAAAAAACCCAACAAAAACCCATAACAAACAGAACCCCAAACACAATGTAGATGATGTGTTGAGAATAACCAAGAATAATTTGTGTATGGAATTATACTCGTCTCATGAAGCAGAAAAAAACCAAATTCTTAGTATTTAGTTGCCTTGAGTTGTTACGATTAAATTTTCAGCATCTATGCTGTAAAATATAAGGCAATTCATACTATGTGCTTTATTTCCTAATACATGCGTATTTTGAAATTGTGTAGTTCTGTTTTTAGTAGCTTCCATTGAAATAATTTTTACTGGTCTACATTTAGTTATGTTAGTATTTATAGTAACATCTGCTAATACATACAATTCATAGCATTTTTCGTATAAGAAACATTTTTCTGCTGATCTGATGGCAGCAGCTACAGTTAGGATTCAAAAATGGTTTCTGTTGATATCCCTTCTTTTGCAAATTCGGCTATATCTCTTGGATATGGAAGTTTCTTAGAGCTGGGGTTGAAGTTTTCTGGAAAAATAAAATTGTGATGAGCAGGGTTAAAAACTAATTTTAAAAAATCTAAGTATAAAGCATGTAAATATATGAAAGGGGGACGGGAGGAGAATGGTGTTGTGACTCAACTTTATGCACGTGAAAAATTGGGATTCACTACTAGGTAATCTTTTAGATTAAGTACCAATTTAAGAAACTTGCTAGGGAATAACTGCTCTGGAGGGTTGTGAAATTCGGATTTATTAGCTACCTAAACAGTTGATTTTTTTTTTTTTTTTATAAACTTTATTTTGGCCTGTATTGCAGGTTGTCGTCTTACACATTGAGGAGAAAATAGAACTAAACAGGAACTTCCAAGTTTAAACAACTGTGAATGAGCGTGTCCTTTAGAAACACATTTTCCAGAAAAGGAAACTGATAGTTCAGTACCTTAGAAATGACTAGTCAAGACCTTATTTGAAAAGGGTATTAAGATTTAGTTATTTAAAACATGCAATTATTAAATAGCTTATCAGTAAAACAAAGATACTTTTGAATTTTTAATGTATCTTAGGCCTTGTCCTTGCACAGTGAAGATATCTAACACTTGACAAATAGTCATGTTCCTGCAATTTATTTAATGAACTGTGATCGTATCAGAAAAGGTGACTGTGTCACAGGTATTACAAATGTGAAGTTTTGCCCAGTCAGTCAAGGCTTTCATTATTGTAAAGCTTTTTATATTGCAGTAGGAATGCTTTTATTTCTGAGTAAATCCTCACACGCTGTCAATTTGGACTCTCTTAATGTAAGAGGTAGGCCTTACTAAACTTGTAAAATTGAGAAGGCACTTAAGAATCAGCAGCTGACCAAGTCTAGGGTAGACACAACGTACAGACTGAAATGTTTTCCTTGACCTTGATCTGACCTCCGTTTGCAAATGATTACTGACACAAGGTTCACTTAGAGCACATTTAGGATGGCACCTGGCATTCTCCTCTATGGACCCCTCTTCCCCAACATGTTTGCCGAAGGTGGGATCTTGGTTATGCCTCCGTCGTGTTTCTCAAAACTCTCCTGCTCTTTACTTGCACAAATGCAGCAGTTCAATGCCTTGCATATTTTTGTTCTTGTAATCTGCATTCAAAATACTTTACATCTCCCAGGTGTTAATGTTCAGTAGTTACTGCCTGGCTTAACCCCGTAGGTTTTCATAGCTGGAGTCAATCCTTAACATCTTTCTTCTACCACGCGCAACAGCTTAAGAGTCCTTGAGGAAAAGAAGCAGGTCTTACTAATTTATTTTTATACATTGAAACATTGCATGTTGTTGCTAAGGTGATGAGTGCAATTGAGATTTACAAAGAAATTTAAGAGGATAAAAGGGCATTGGGGGAGAAGGGAGTAAACCCCAAAAAAAGAAAACAACTTGGTGAACTTGGGTTTCATCAAAGATTTTTATAAGCCAACCTCTGTTATCTTTGACATGATCACTGCGTGGTTAAGAGCCAGAAGCTGCCAGTGCATGGTCAACAACTAGCAGAAAAATGATCTGATACGTTTTCTGAAATTTCATTTATTTAAGTGTTTATCATCTGCTTCTCCCAAGGTGTGGTTAATATGCTTCTGGCCTCCCTGCCGAGCTTGTAGGAAAATTTGTTCAAATCAAATGCATTAGCACAAGATTTTTCGTTAACTCGTTTTCTAAGAGAAAAAAAGAGATCAGCTTCACTTTCGAGTTGAATTCATGTGTCCATTTGAGTAGTGTGGACATTTTTTCCATTGATCAGGGCATTTCTTCTTTTATATGTGACAGCAGTAATACGTAGAAGTAGTGTGGAAGGTGAGTGGTTCCTTTAAGAACTCTTTTGGAGGCTCTGGCTTCAGACTCAGTCTTCCTTTCAAAAGTAACTTTTCACCAACTAAATAAAAGTATTTAAAAAAAAAGATGGTCATACATTAAAATACCCAGTGGTTTTATCAAGGTATAATCTGCTTTAAGGTGCTAAGTAGGCTCCAAAGCGTAATCAAAAAATGTGAAAGTAATCTAAGCAGTTTCTGTCATGAATTATGTGGCAGATTGAAAGTCTGTTTCAGGAAAAGAAAGATACTGATGTTACACAGGATAAAAGTTTGCTCTGCAACATGGTTGTGAAAAATACCTTTAAAAAAACCCCTTTTTCTGAAGGGAAAAGAGGGGCAATGTGTTACTTCTCCTGTGCTTATGTATACCTCTGTGGTAGTGGTTCCATGCTGTGCTGTTCAGCTGTATTTGTGTCTTAGCTGTGTTCCACTTAGCACTTTATCTAGGCAACAAACCCCAGTGGCATAATTTGAACTATTGTCTGGAATGAATACTGCATGTGCCTCTTTCGTATCTTCTCTCTGTACAAAGTCAGGCTGTCGAGAGGGCAGGAGAAAAGGTCTGTAATTTCATTTTACCAAAAGCACATGCTGCATAAGGTAACTTGAATGGGAGTCTGTCATGAAATCAAATGACCTCTTAAAATAGTCTTCTGTTGTAGTGCAGGCAAAACACCTGAATCAGGCTCACCTGTATCTTAGCCCCTGGTGATTATTTATTGTAGTAGAGTTTTAAAGTCTCAGACTATTGTTAATAAATCTTTTAGAACTTTACTACCTTAAATGGCTCAACTGCTATCACCGTATTGCTGTTTCCCATAGTCCTTATCAGATTTCAGGGAAAGCATGAACTATAGGGTAACTCTTAGTAAGTAATACTGTCCCAGAGATAGTGTGAGATTAAGGTGAGTGAATTATGAATCAATTATCATCGGTTATAAATAATTGTTATGCCTTGGTTTATATCAGTCTGAATGCAAAGTGCAACTTTAGGCTTCTGCTTCACAGATTCTAAATAAATGCTGTCGTAATAGAAGCTACACTGGATTTTCTTTTGTCTATAAGCGTGACTGCTGCTGCAGAAAAGGGAGATGTAAAGATGAAATAAGCAGATTGAATTCTGTGATGGTAGAACTTCTTGCAGTTTTTTGGTTAATACTTTCATCGGCATTCTCACTCAGTTCCAAATAATGAGCTGTAGTTGAGAGTCACATAAATATGCATCCTGTTTACAAAAGGTAGGCCTTGAATTGCCATCTGGATGTCATCACAAATGGAAATCATGGCCAAATGATGCCCTGATTGTCTGTTTTTTAAGTTGCATGAATTTATTAGTTGGACTTGTACTTGGAATAAATTTAAAACTTTATTTCCATACAGAAAAGAGCTTGTGAGAAAAATAACTGTGTATTAATTGGAATGTAGCTTATTAAAGGATGTTAAAGTTCTTTAAGTTGTACATTGTAGCAGGGATATAATGAATTAATATTATTATCTAAGCTGTATTTCCAAGAGACTTAGTGAAAAACTTAGATAGGAACTTGGGGCTTCAAATCTTCCTAACCAATGACTGGGAAAAGACAAGAGAGGAAGGAGAAGGTCAACAAGATCAGCT